TCAGTTGTTAGGAAAAACGACTTCCGGGTCCAAAACGAAAGACAGATCTATAAATATTTTTCATTTTCGTTTTCTTCATGACAAGATTTGTTGTCCAAAGATTTTATCGTTTCAGGTGTAGGTGTGTCGCTTTCTTTTAGCTGTTTTTGTGACCACTCAAGTACGTCACATTTTTTCAAATTAAAAGCCTCTAAAAGTTCTGGTAAACTTAAACTATTATTATCATTACCATTATTATTATTATTATTATTATTACCATTATTATAATAATTGAAACTTGATTGAGTTTGAATTTACATGGTAAACAGCAAAGCGAGCTATGCTGATTTATATTCTATAATTACAAGTTTGAATTGTGAATTATTATTATTATTATTATTATTATTAGCATTATTTTTCTGTATATATTCCACGTCAACGCTTCTATAAAGAATGGCTAGAATATATAATCAAATATTCAGCAGTTTATCGAATCCACAAATTAAGCGCATACGATGATGACGGGCAAGAACCACTTCCTTCGCCTAAAGCTTCTCCGAAGTCACATTCAACTTGTGTAGTGGTAAAATCAGCTGCGTCCTCTTCTGTAATACCGATGCCATGATCAGCTCGTGCGCATGCGCTACCCCCTCCACCAATCATCATCACTGCTCCATCACCGCTGCCCCAATGACACCAAAACCCGATTCTATTACTGCTTTGGATCTTACTGCTACACTTTGTCTGGGAGAATCCATCAGTAGAGGAGTACTGGCCACCATACACTACACTACAGCTTCCAAGACATTTGTTATTCGCCCACACGGTACCGTTGCGGAAGTTTCCATAGCTCGTTATCATTGAACGAAATGTACGGGATCCCAGACAGTTGGATGTAGTTCGTAGTAGAGCAGTGTGAGTTGAATCGTCAGATCGTGTCATCTTGGTCTTGCGTCCATTGATAAACCAGAAGGCGGGGGATATCATGTCTTGATTGACAGACGTACTTGTGGTGCTTCCTTGACCTGTCATGACGTCGTACCACCAGGAGGCATCGTCTCTCATCCAGTTCTTTGTGTCACTGTTAGAGAAGCGACCGATCAAAGTCCATCCCCCTCCGTCACTTGTCATGTCACAGTAGACTTGGAAGGATCTTTGACTGTTTGGTTTTACTGTGTGCACACCGTTACGTCTTTCACCTGATTGGTAGATCTCTGCACAATCTCTGTAGACAATGTTAATTCGTGTTTTAGTTACTGTATCAGCAACTCCAGCACTCGTAGCGGTACACACGTAGACACCTGAATCAGAGCTGACCACATTTTTTATCATCAATGACCCATGACGTACTTCATACCGTCCTACTCGAAGATCCTGTTTTTCTTTTCTCCAGCTGATTATCGGTGGAGGGTCACCTTGAGCTGAACAATTGAGCATAATGGTCGAGGTGAGTGTGGCGTTCAATACAGGCGGAGGTCTAACGATGAATACAGGCAACTGTACCACGACTAACATACATCCTGCTACCTCGAATCCAAGCTGATTTTCAGCCCTACACAGATAGGCACCAGAATCTTCACTTGTTATGCTTGATAAAGTCAAAAGATTATCTCGAAGACTGACACGCTTACTTGGTAACCGCCTGACTGCCTTCTGCCATACAACTTCCGGCTGTGGATGGCCAGTCACGTGACACACGGGAAGAGTGACATTGTCTCCTATCCTAGCGTAGATTGGTCCGCTCTTTAATGTCAATTTTGGACG